CAACTCAAGAAAATACATTTTCAAAATCTATATATGAATTGCATAAATTACAGTCTGTTTCAAGCAAATCTCATTCATACGACTGGGACGTTAGCAGGTTAAGTATAATAACTGTTTTCAACAAAATATTTACTATTGGTTAGTAAAATTTTATCAATTTAAACTCAAAAATCTGCTCTTAATTAATGAACTGATATAACTAATATAACATAAACATAATTTAAAATGTTTTATTTAGTAATAATTTCTTGTTCTAATTTCCAAAGCATTTCGTTTTTTATCACAACTGAAGAAAATTATGAATGTAATATAGAAGTAATCAATTCTATCCTCAAGATAATATTTGAGTTCGTCTATGTTAACTGATATTATAGCATATGCTATAAAAATAAACTCCAATGTTTGTCATTTCGTTTTTTATTCACTAGTTTTAATTTCCACTATTTTATCAAACACGATTAGATAGTATTTAATGAAATTATAAATAATTAAAAGAATTGTTAATAAAAGGTTTTTCATATCCTACCGACCGATAAAATAACAGACAGCTATCAAATGAATATAAATCATGCTGGTTTCGACAAGTATCAGATTGTAAACCTTTCAACAGATTTGTCATCAGTGTCCACCATGCCACACAAATTATCTGTATTTAACAATATCAAAGCTGGTGGCCCAAATCAACAAATCTTAGCGCTACTGTTTAAGAGCGACACTATCGTTGACAAAGAAAACACCGACGCAAGGCAACTACAAAACTATAAGATACACCGCAGGAAAAAGGAAAAGGAAGAGACTTGTTCGTGTTTTGAAACAATAAAAGAACAACAACTACAAAACTATCAATTATTATTGTCACAGTTGATGCACATTATCACCCTCATTCCAGCATTCTGGTAAAGGACCTGTCTACGCTGGTTTTTTTAAAGAAGCATTCTCTCTTATACATACACATACATACATTAGAAATTGACTGACTAATTGATGTGTTTATTTGTGCACCATAAATGGAGATTGACCTAAAATTTTCCTTTGCTAAGGTAAAAAAAAATTGCTCGCAATGATATACCAAATGATCTCCAATGTGTTCTTCGTAGGTGGCAAGTATGACGCCCGCTGTGAATACATAATTGAAATACTTATACCTTCTACTCTACAAAAGATGTATCATGGACCAACATGATACATGTTGGTGTCATGAGAGAGCAATTCCTTACTTAATTCTCTTGTTACATGGTCGGCTATCCTCCTACTCATTTTAATAACTAAAGCATGTTTTTAGATCGTGATGTCATTCTGCTATATCTAAGTATCTTCAAAGTTAGAGTAGTTCACAAGCATGTTATTCTCTTACCTATAGTGTAGGGTGTGTATGTTGTACTAATGTGACTATGCAAAGTGAATTGCTTATAAAAATGAAAGACTCCCTCAATTTTATCAATGGAGTGACATATCGATGTCGGTAAATTTGCTACTCTCAGTTAGTAGTCGGAAAATTCAAAGACTGTCGTTGGTGGTCGTATTTTCCTGCATTTTTGTCTACACTACTGTTCAGTTTCTGTACTGTATTCTTCGCATTTATTCTCATCCTTTTTTGGGTGGATGTTATATTTTGAAATTGACAATAATCTTTTTAAAAAATTATTTTCGAATTATCAAGTTGAGTTGCTTTATCTATCTTATAGGAATAAGATATAACAATAGGACATATTTGATGAGGTTTTTTAGTGTTTCTTCTTTTTATAAAAATAATTTAAACAATTACTGCTTGTTTGGGATTCTTTAATTGTCATTTATTTGAATTGTTCATAATAGGTGCGGTTGTGACATCCATTTTGTGACGTATATATATATTTTTTTTCTAATTTGAACACACAAGTTGTTCGGCAAGGTGTAAAATCATATACAATATTGACAACCAGGTTTACGGATTATTAAATCATCATAAATAGTAATCATAAAATAATAAAGCAAACTTAAGATAACATATTTAAACGGATTTAACTCTTTGTATTCAAAAATCGGAAGTAATCTTTTTAATTTCAATTGTTAGCACATATGTATTATAATTTTCTTGTTGACTGTTAATGATAAAATAATATCTAATGGTAACCAAACCTGTTGGTTGACTGATTTACACAGATATAATCAATCAATTTTTAACGTATAGTAAATTTAATTATCTTCGAAAGAAATTATGGACTTTTGCAATCGCTTGTTCATATTATCATTACCATTGGATGGATTAATGGATGGATTTCTTATATGCATTAACAAGAGAAGTAAATTATAGCTAGAAATTTTAATATATCATACTTATTAAGCATAATATAACATGCTTCGGAATCTTTAATAAAGATATACACAAACATCCGAATCGAATATAAAATCCTTCCAAAATTACATTTTACTGGTATCAGTAGTTTATTGATATTATAAAGTGTTTTTAACGAAAATGATCAATATTAATTCTATTTATTCTAATTACTACTAATTACTTTACTGTATTTCCATTGAAGTCTCCACATTATTAGTATCGCGTTTTATTTAATTTATTATTATATATGAAACTACCTTCTACTTGGTTTTGACACAAAGGATATGACTGACAAAATTCTCAGTCACAGGTTTCTCTAATGATAGCCAAGCATCAAAGTTTACATTTGAAACGTATATCTTCATAACATCCACTGTTGCAACATCTGCAGATATATCCAACTCCATTTACGATAGCAGTTAGTCGAAAATTGGAAAACTTAATTAAAATTAGTAAGCAATTACGGATATTTTCATTTATATGTATTACAAAGAATCAATATCATCAAGTGAACCAATATCACATTTGAAGGTGATCAGAAATATCAGCTGTGTATTTTTAGCTGTATTAAAACTATGGATAACGATAACTATGGTTTGACAGCTGAGAATGTTAAACTGTGTTGACATTTCTGTTCAACAAGGTTTGGCAATTCATCATGAATAGCTTAACGCTAGAACAATGTTTTCAAATTGTGAAAATTAACTTTGAAAAAATTAATCTTTTCACGAGGTTCATAGAGCACTTCGTCGAAGAATTATGTTTAGTGATAAAGCTCATTTCTGGTTAAATGGCTACGTCAATGAGCAAAATTGCCGTATATGGAGTGAAGATAATGCTGAAGACGTTGATGAATCACCATTAAAATTGACTATTTTATTGCAAAATCAATTTGGTAACAACTTTATTTCTAAAAGTGGTCCTGTTAACTGACCCCTCATTCATGCGATTTAAGGCCACTCGATTACTTTTACCTTGAAGCATTGGAAGCTAATGTTCATGCCATCATTGACGCCCTACGGTATACGGCCGCATTTATTGCAAAAGATAGTTAAAAATTGGACAGATCAATGCACCAATTAACTCGTAGCCACGGTAGACATATACCGGAAATCGTTTTTAAAAAACAAATGCTGGTACTGGTACTTCTGGTACTTCACTTCACCGAAATTTTTTTAATTCATATATTTGTACATATAATTACACTAAAAATTCAACCATTCTATCATTGTTGTCATTCGGGCTATGAAATCTACATCTCATCTATATCATTTTGTTTCTTGTGTTGGCTTAAGTCTTGTCCATTATTGGAGCATTTTTTCCATATCGATTTGTCTTTTCCATGTAATTATGTAAATAACAAATACAATATGATACGCACAAGTTATTCTTTTGAGACAGAATCTCGTATCCACGTATTCCCTATGTCTTTTAAAACATACATTTTTGTAGTTACGCAAATTGGCGGCGCATATAATAATATAAAATACGCTAAGTTAGAAAGCATATGTCGCTTTCCTTCGTGGGGACCTTCAGCAATAGGCAGTAACTACGATAACGCAGTAATTGTATTGGAATCCTTCGTACTAATCGCTTGAGAATTACTTCTGAAGATTATTGAGTCCAGTAACATACTTCAACATACTTCAAATAAGACTGTGGTGTAGAAGATAGATCCCATATTACTAGTTTCTCATAAGCATTTCTTGTATTTAGTATAAATTTTTTAATTCTTTGCAAGTAGCACTAGTGTTTACTTACTTACTGTAGTCGTTTTCTCCTCGTGGAGCATAGATTTTCTACTAGAGTTTAGTTAGAGTGAAATATATATAATTGATACCATGACCTATAACAAGTCGACATATTTAACGACTTCAACTATATTCAGTAATTATAAACTCACCCAAAAGGTGAACATAATTAAAGCCCCCGTAAAAATCAGGTTTCATGTCTAAAACTGATATTGTTAAGAAGCTAGAGGTATTTGTGTGTTAATGCCATACATAATCAATCAATTTAACCTTCAAATAAATAATCAGTTTGTAAAACAGACTTCCATTATACTTCCATTATTTATTACAACTTCTTCGATATGCCGTTTAACGATGGATTATTGACAGTAAACTGTTGAGGATTTTTTGACTGAAGTTGTGAAAGTCTTGTTGAAATGAGAAGAAAACAACAAATTTTATTCCTTTCTTCGACTAAAGAATTATTTTATGTTTTTTAGGAAAATAAGTTGAATATGCATAATATTTTTCCATAATATTGACCCAGATTAGGTCAATCTTATTTTAATTTTAGCAGAATTTTTTTTAATTTTATTTCTGTTTTAGATACAGATTCGTTAAAGAAAACAAAGCTCTAGTATTTTCGTTTTAAAAATTTTATTATTTCACAAATTTTTTTTTTATTATAAAAATAACGAATAATTAAAAAACTTAATTATACAAAAACAATTATATATAAACATACCATAATTGTTACCACAGTCTTAATCTCATTACTGTACTCTTATAAATACAAAATCAGACTTAGGAACAAAGTATATGACTTATTTTTAATGAAAAAGAGGCACAAAGAGAAAGAAATACTTTTCGATATCAAAACAAATCATCTAAAAGATATTATTTCCAAATCATTTTACAGTCTTTATAAAACTTAGCTTGCCCATAAGTAATTATATAACATGATAGTTATTTTTTAGAATCCAAAGTATGGGTAAGCGGAAGCTGAGGTCTTATTTTCAATAACAGCCTGGTGATGATATCCGTTCATATGATTGCTTCCAGTCGGGAAAAAATGACCGGGAAAATTATAGCTATCCCACGATGACACAGAAGGATGGTGAGCACCGGAGGCAGCGGCAGAAGCAAATTGCGTGCGTAATTGTTCAGCAGACGTGGCTGCAGTGTTAGCAAATGTCGATGATGTAGGCATAGTATAGGCGGCCGAGGAGTTGATTGCAGTATTTGCTTCGCCATTAGCAGGGTATGAATAACAATTGGTAGCTGTTTTCGAAGACGTATTTGTGGCTACTTGTGGAACACCAGCTAAAGCATTTGTATGTACTGGACTCAATGAAGCGGAACTGGTAGTGCTGGAGGGTGACATCGAAGACACAGAATTTCCACTCGAACGTCCAAAAGTATGATGTGGCTCATATGAAGTAGTAGATTGCTGTCCACTTAATGTTGGCCATGTTTGGCTGGATGCAGCGCCATAGAAATTAAGATTATGTGTATGTGCTAATGCAGCACCGCTCATAGTCTGACTGGTTGGGGTGTGATATTGTGTTGTACCAAATGAAACTTGTTGTGTATTCAATTGTTTGCGCAAACGTGCACGTCTATTAGAAAACCAAACTTGCACACGCGCCTCTGTTAGACCAGTACTTTGAGCTAATTCTTCTCGAGTATAGACATCTGGATATTGTGTACGAGCAAATATACGTTCAAGTGCATCGATTTGATCATTAGAAAAGGTTGTACGAGAGCGACGTTGTTTTCGTTTGAGTTGTACACCTGGTTCAGTTTCATCATCACTTTCATCACCAGATGAAGTAGAACCAAGTATTCCATCTATAGAATGCGCATTTGAACCTGTTTCTGAGCGTACTCCACCACGTAATAGACGACTGATAGAGCTAACTGATGGTGCAGAGTTTTTATCGCACATGCCATTTTCAATTAATTTGGCACGTATTTCCCAACTAAAAATTCCAGGATTATTTTGCTTCATTTCTTCAATTTTCGCTTCTATATCAGGAGTGGCAACACGTGGTTTGCTACCACCTATGACACCTGGTCGTATCGATCCAGTTTCTTGATAACGATTTAAAATTTTTGAAACACAACCATGTGATACACGCAATTGTCGAGAAATGACACATGGACGTACACCAGCAGCAGCCATTTCAACAATTTGACGGCGAATGTGATTTGGTAAGGGACGTCCATTAATAAATACACCGCCAAGTTGATTAACACGTCCTTGTCCTAAAAAAATAAAATAATTATTATATTATTTTTGTTTATTTTAATATAATAAAAATGTTTATATATTAGTTGTAAGGAAGGATGTAATTACACAGAGTCTACTTAAGTATATTGCAAATTTACTTATTATGAAAGTATATGTTTGGCTATAAACCTATTATAAATAACATTAAATAACTTACAACAAGCAAAATATAGGTAAAAAGTCTAACATACAAAATATATAACTTTAAAATGTGTGCCATATAGCTATTAAAACCATTATTCTCAAAGTCATTATATGAGTGGTTTATGAGTTCCTTTTTGCAAGAGGTAAACGTTACTTGGCCATCTGAAAGGGTGATGAGTTTCGAGATGTAGAATTTACCACTTCGTAGCTAATTGTTCACCTTGATATGAAATAGGTTTAAGACTCCATACATTATTCTTCCTAGTTAAGATGCGGTAGTTATCGTCAACTCATAGAGGACCAAAAATCTTACAAAAAATATAAGTCCAACACCAACTTCATTACTGATGATTTTTTATTTGTTGTTTATTAATGTTCACTTAACATATCTTTCAATTCGCTTCTTTTGCATATGAATTGTTTATAATATATGAACTCAATATCTTCAGTGTTTTTGTATTACAATTGTAATTTCTTTCAGCTTGAATTACTTTCATTGTTCAAAAAAAAAGTGATCTCTATTTTCCATAAGAGTAAATGCTAATGGTAGTGCATATTGTATGCAAAATCAAATGAGGCATAAGCGGGGGTAGTATTTCAAATAGATAATACGCAAGATAAAAATTGCTCAAGATCATTTTTGTTATTCTTTAGTTTTTCAAAAGTACTTAAAATTAATAGGCTATTGTGCGCGACTTAAGATTAAGTGCAAAACTAGGTTGAGCATCAGTTCACACGATCACTAGATTTGGCATCGGCTTTTCTTATTATGATCATGCAATACGAGTTCATAGAAGAAAAAAATCTTCCATATTGAAGTTATGTAAATATAAAATTGGTTTAACCTTTCTTAACTGCGGTTGGCCTAAAACTGTTTGTTACGTTATTTTGCATTCTTTCGAAATATATTATCTTATTTCATTTTATTTAATTATACTTAAATGCTCAATGCCTAATCAGTTGGAAGTCTTAATTTGTTCGAGTGGAAATGTTGTTGCCATACAAATGAATATCTTTTTTGTTTGAGAAACAAAACTGACAGAAGCGCAGCTAGCTTAATTGATCTTTTGCTGATCATAGTAGCTGCTCATAGTAGCTGATCTCACTGATCTTATGCTTTATGAAAATATGGTACGAGTATTAATGCTAGATGTGCACTCAAATCAATTAATTAAACAAAGGCAACAATATTCAAAATAGTCGGCTTATGGGGCAAAACTAAAGATCGGCTTAACAAACTGATCTTCATAACATATGAATATTACATAAAATAAAAAATATATGCTTGGGCATAGGGCAGGCATGAGGGGAAAACTACGAAAACAGAATAAAAAATTCTTTAGCTCAAATATCTGTCAGTTTATTTCTATGCGTCCGTCAGAAAAGTGCATTGCTTTATTCAAAAGCTTGACGCATCGAAATCTGGAATCGAACTAATAATCCAGCCTCTGAACACTGCGTACAACAGAATTTTTTTCTTCTTCTCTTTTGTGTTTTTATTTTATTTAATTTTGTTTTGTTTTAATTTGAAAATTTTTTTGTTATTGTAGTAGTTGCTGGTGCTGTTGTTGCTGTTGTTGTTGCTATTTACTCCAGCTGTGCAAGCTAATATAAAACATTTACTGGAGGGGTGCCCCCATATACAAGCGTGCAAGATCCATACGTACGTGATCCACAAGTAGTAGAAGATCAAAGATATACCGACGCGCCAATACGTCTGCTAACGCAAAAGAGTCTGCGTTCAGTTTATGAGCGCATATTTATGAAAGTTTATGTAGTACTCAAATCGATAGATCCATTGCCCACCGTCGTTTATGCTGTGTGCTGTGCTGTGCTTTGGTGTGGTGTGTTGCGTTGTGTTGAGATTTTGTTTTTGGTTTCCATTATTGTTAGGAAAGAACACAGTCAGCCAGTTGAATTGTATGTGTATATGTGCATTGGCTGTACTGTTGTTTAAGACGATCGGATCGGTGGACTTTAATATTGTGCACATGTAGCAGTGAAAATATTTAAGTCAATTTTTTTTTTGTTTTTCGTATTTTTTTTTTTTTTGGATACAGGTTTGAACGATCACAATCAATAAGTCAAAAAGCTGATCATGATTATTGGAATTTTTTATTACTAATTTAATGATGATGATGATGATGATGAAGACGATGTGCTGCTGTTGCTTCTTGTAAGATATATTCTCGGTATATTTGTCAGTATTGTTGTTAGTAAGGCGTTGTACATGAAATTTGTACGCTGCTTTTCTTGGTTTTTTTACTTTTTATTTTTTATTTTGCTTGTTTTTCATGAAACGAAGGTGTTAAGCTCATATTTTTTTAGTAAATGACTTTGCAATATTTATGATTAAGTTAGAAAATTTGTTGAAAATAGGTGTATTTATAAATATAATCACAATTTAAAATAGATGGTAATAAGATATGGCAGACAAGTTGGCGCTGTTGAGTGTTGCTTTGTTTATTGTTTGGTAAATAAATGGTTAAACTAGTACTAAAAACTTACTTAATGAATTATTTTAGATTTTCCTTACTGATTATTATTTAGAAGAGAAAAGATAAAATATATACAGAGATAAAAATAATATTTATTCAAAGAGATTTTAATCTTGAAAGTAAAAATTTTCAAACGTAGTATATATAAACTTGATGAATCTATTTAACTATTATTCTATTGAATCTACTCTCATCGATCAATATATTTAGTAATGCAGTTAATAAAGGTAGAAATACTATTTGATTTGACTATAATTTTACATAATTAGTACTTATTAACTATACTCCTATTGAATCTATTATCATCTCTCAATATATACAGTAAGATAGATAGTAGATTTAAAAATTTTAGCTAAAAATTTTACATATCTAGTATTGTTATGTCGTTTTTGATTGACAAATTTAGGCTAACTTTTTCATTCGAGATTTACTACAGTTATAAATTGGATCATCTCAGATCCAACACATAACACTCGAGATTAATTTAAAACAATTTATTTAATTTAACAGATTGAAAAAATTAACCAATAATTAAAAGTTATTTTAAGTTATTTAGCAATAATATTTAGGGATTATCCTAAATTATATTCTATAGGGCCACAAAATTCGAACAAAAAAGTATCTATCGCAAGCAAACCTAGTTTTGCCAATCAAACCTAGTTTCAGAACTCGGTGGTTTTACTAAAAACTAGCTTAACACATGATATAAAAACAAGATTTGTAATTCAAAGAAACTCATGTAAAAATAGTAACTTATTTTTTATAAATATAAAATAAAATTTTGTTTAAAAATAATAATTACCTTGAAAAGGATATCCAGCAAAGTATGGTGTCATATTTAAAGCCGAAACTGCCATTCTTATTAAGTTCAATTATGTATAATTTTTTTTTTTCGTTTGTATATATCAACTTAATTAATTATTTCGAGTTTATTAAAAATTCACTTTTTTTTAATATATTTTTTTAAACATAAACACTTGTTTACCAATTTAACTTAAAAAATCCATAAATTAAAAAAAAATTCTGATAAGCATTGATTTTTATTATCTTATTAATTTTTCACACTTCCCGTTAGTTCCTTCTTGCTTGAATGTCAGTCTTAAACTGATTTTGAAACGGTCAGCAGTAGCACCAAAACAGATTTTTCTTAGTTTACCACTCTTCTTGCATGCTGTTTGACCGAATACAACGATAAACAACAAAACTGAACATAATAAAAAACAAAAAACAAAAACAACAAGTTTATGTTTGCTTGCATCAGCAATAACAACAAATAACAACAAAAGAAAATAAACAAACCCACGCTCTAGTCAAGAGAGCAAACAGGATTACTGGCTCACACGTATTTATACAAGTAAACAACTACTTAGCCAAATAAATTGTATTGTTGCTAGAGTAGAATGATCGTACAAACGAACACCCACTGTGTTCATATTATTGTATCGTTTGAGGTGGTGTGAGTGGATAAGAAAAAAGCACAAATTTTCTTGTTTTCCGTACGGAGTGAGCTGTATGTATGAACGAGAGATGCTAAAGCAGATCTTTTCTCTCTCTTCTCAATGCAAATAAGTAATATGGCTGCAATGAATTTTCGTGCTCCGCCTTTTTTTCACAACTTGTAAAACAAGATTGATATATTTTTTCCTACAGCCAAGATATTTACTAAATTTTTATGCACATAAGTAGAAATCTAGTTTGCAAAAAAACGTTTTTCCATTGATTTTACACAGTTATTTAACGTTTTTGTTTTGATGTAAGCCGACATATTTTGATTTAATTTTGCACTTTTTAAATTGCATAAGATATTTTGAAGATAAATGTTTTTGTTTTGCTTTGTTTTGAAATCTAGTTACTCTCTTTTTTAATTTACATTTTAGTTCTTTTAGATCTTAAATAATAAGCGTTAATTTATGTAAGTGAGATAATAAAAAAAAAATTGTGTATGTATAAATTACAAGAGAATTAGAAATAAGTTTTTATAAATTTTTTGTAGCTATTATTTTTTTATAATAATATATAATTTAGTATATATACGTATACATTATATGTTCTTGGCATTTTATTTCTATATTTTAATGTTTTTGTGGCTTATACGAATATCTCTTGCTATTAGCTAAGTTTAACATCTGATAGATCCTATCAATATTGGACAACAAATTATAAATTGATTTTTGGAAACAGATGGAGAATTCAGAAAAATAGATATTAATTTTTATTTGTAGAAGTAATAAAAATTTAGTTTAGGAATTACAAACTTAGAATTATAATTATAAATAAATATAAAATTTTTATAAATTTTTAGACAACTTTATATTTCTTTTTTATAGCAATTTATAATAATTTATATACATATATATTAATATAATATACATAAATATAGATTATTATATAGCTTTACGCTCTATATGTCACTCATCCTACCTATGGACACAATCACAGATTGGTGAAGCAGCACTGGCTGTTTTCGAAAGCAAAGTTTATTGTAAAATCTTTGCTCCTTTCTCAGTTGGTGGCGAATGTCGCATCCGAATGAACCACGAACTCTATGAACTTTATCAAGAGATTGATATAATTGATATGATAATTGTTCATGTCGTGAAAATCGCTCCAACGAAAAAGAAATATGAAACGGTAGTTGGAGGAAGAAGATATAGAAGTTTAAGATGTCTCCGGTGGAGTGAACAAGTTAAGGTCGCACTTAGTGTAGGAGACTTCGGATTTCAAAACACAACCTGGTGACGGTTTAATAAGACCATTTATGGTAAGTAACTATGTAAGCTCCTAGTTCTGATGCTAGTTATCGCGTGTTAATATTGCAATGATCTCGGGACTAGGGCAATGAATAATTTAGTTTTACTTATTTTTTAATTTGACTGTTGCTAATACATATCAAACAAATATAAATTTATTCAAACAGTATATTATTAGATTAGTAAATAGAAAATGATATCTACTGTAATTCAATATGTATAATACACATTTAAATTATTGTTAAAGTTTTTCTTTATGATTTGTACTTATATTTGCTGTAAATAGGTGCTTTTAAATTTCGGATTTATTACACTTTTATTGCAAAATTTTAAAATATATAGAAAACCTTTTTCCAAAATAAATCATTTTTATAGATAATTTTGGAACTACTGCGGAAATTGACTTCAGCACAAATAAAAAACTTGTCCATATTGACACTTAGTTTTTTAAAAATAAATTTATAATTTATTTAGTTTAGGTACTAAATATATTTGTTTATTCTCAAATGCATATTAATTTAATTATTTAATTTCATTTACAATTAATGTTTTGTGGTAATAATGTTTAAATGCATACATAAATGCATACAGCAATATAAAAATAATATTATTGTTTTATATTTTAATAATAACATAAATATGAAATATAACTTATGACTTTATTTATATTTGTATTTTTGTTATAAAGTTTGACTTGGATATATTTTATATATAATATATTATATATGTTCTGGGAAAAAATGAAAAACTGTTGTATAAACTATTATTATATGATTACACATAAATAAATTAGATCTACGAATCTCATAAAATTACAAAATTTTATTTGTAGATATTTCTCACATATGGTACATATGGTTCTATGGATGTAAATGAAAGCCTTTATTTCAAATTTTAAAATTGATATGTCAGTAAAAATGCATAAGCTTTAAAAATAATTGGACAGTAAAATTGTTTACATCATTATCAAAATGAAAAATACGTGGGTTAGTTAAATAGTTGATTGAAATATTATATACATATTTTTAATTTATTATATACGACTAAATCCTATCTACGAGAGCTAGTGTCTAAGGTCCTTTTACTCAACAGTGTCTGTGACCACTTGCGTGATTAACTATTATAATAATTATTATTATAATTCAAGTGATTTTGCAGAAGTATAGTTTGAAGTCCAACATATCTTCCTGATGGAATATATATGTATATCGTATATGTTTTAAGAGTACAATTTTGAATCAGTGGGGTCATCTATCTTTCGCTCACTCGTGACTCTGAAGTCTTTATCTAAAAGTATCTAAAAGTGTTATAATTTCAGCTAAAACTTAAATATTATAATTTTTTAGTTTGACAATCCACCCATTATGTCACACATTATTAAACGCCTAAGCGCTATCAAAAAAGATTTTATTTTGTTTCGATTTTACTTCACTAGGAGCTGCTCTTATACTTTGGGAATAAGAGATCAGTGGAGATCAATGAAAAGATTTTCTTTCTGAAACTGAACTGTTCCATGGGAATAATATTTATAGTCATAACTACATTTGTAAGTCCTGGTGATACTATTTTTTCTACTATCCTACCTGTACCCGGCCGCAAACATTTAGGTTTCCAACTTCTGAGTAAAAAAAATTTTTTTCCAGGTTTACAAAGGAATACTATAACCGTAGATTTCCGGAGTTGTGAATGATACCTAGAGAAAGTACTGCATTAGTGATATCTTTGATTCTTGTTTTTACTAACATTAATGATAGTTAAAGTACTACATAAATAATGTCTTTAATTCCAGTTTTTAAAAAAACAGAACAAATTTTTTTTTAAAGTACTAATTAATGTGCTGATTTCTTCCTTATTTCTTGAAGGCAATGCTCCTACCTTCGTAATTGATAAAATATCGGTCACCAGTCCATTAATTTCCTTCTCATTTTAATTATTTTAAACTATGCAGGATTGAGCATAAATTGATGGTGAAAGTATACATTATAAACCAAATGTAACATTTTTTAAGTACCAGATTGGCCACAATCTGACCTAAAACATAACTATAAAGTTTTTACATTCCGGTTCGTGTGCTAAGATCTCACGAAAGTGATAGACTTAAATAGTATTGACAATGTGATTTTTAGATGTAAATCATATAGGTAATATACATATGTGTATAGGTAATATACATAGTAGAAGAACTCAATATCTGCCAAATCAGTCCCAGACTGTACGGCGAATGACCCATCAATTCGATAGTTTGTTGGTAGACAAGATGCATGTCAGATGTGGTAGACATTGTTTCCGTTAAAGAAACGGTTGTATAACATTTGGAATTGACCGTTTTAAGTTCCAGTAATGGTACATATAGTTGTATAGTTCCTACATGACCAGTTTTCTCGAAAAAACAAGTGACCATTTGTTTCGAAGTGCTTCGAGCGCGAACAACTTTTATTGGATTACGTTCATCTTAAAACAACCATGCAGTCGACTTCTGTTTCCTTCCGCCTCATACGCATATATCCACGATTCGTCACCTGTTGCAATCTTATACTCGAATACGTCTGTTGAAGCACCGCCATTGTACTTCTTGAGAAATATAAAGGTTTCATTGCTGCTATACAGTTCTTTTAAAATCTTTTATCAGTAATTGACATAAGTTTTCTTAATAATAAACAAGCAACGAGTTGGAGTGCTATCTGTACCGATTTGAATACACTTGCAAAGATTAGTGTGTCATCTTAAGTGGTTGGATTTCTGCGTTAGGTCTAAACCCAACCTTGTTATCTAGTTTGAAGAACAAGTCTCTTTCTATCATATTATTGAAGACCACAAATAATAACTTTATATATGAAACCTTAAGATCAAAGAATTTGTATATATTTTATAGGAATTGTATATTACAACAATGTTTTTAAATTCTTTAATTTTATTTTAATACTTTTTAATAATTTTTATTTTTCATACTGTCAATATTTTAAATAATATATGAGCATAACACATTTGTTGTAACTATCTAAAACATCATTCTATACTACAAAAAATTTTCTTGTCTTTATCAGCAATTTATCATATACTAAATATATATTCAATTTAACGTTGAGTTATATACACGTTAATGTCTA